TATATTTTAGCATTAATGTGAAATGCAATCATAGGGTCTTCCCACGTGTTGTCCACAAATATATGTGCCGTTCCCTCACTATCAACAGTTAATGTCCTACCCGTGCACATGCCATCTAATATACATAAAAATTATTATGTAATCAATAAACAGTATATAAAAATCTAATACACTATTAAAATACCGATTAAACCGCCGGATATTATATCACAATAAGTACCGCCCGGTAGACCCGTACTGTTAGTCATCTCAATGGATTTCACGTCGTTATTGATGGCTATAAAGGCTTTATTTCCGCGACTGAAGGCAATCTGATTGTTGGTGTTGTCCCACCACTGGACTACCGGTTCACTGCCCACTATATTCCTAAACCTAACCATATTATAGATGGGACGCCACCTGTGCTCACAAATCCATTGACTCGTATCGCAACTCAGATCCGGATTACGTTTCACATCCACTATACGATCGCCGGAGTCATGGGGAGGTCCTGTGTCCGAGTTTCGGTCGACATACCTGTCCCCTTGTTTCTAGTGTTTGAGATACAATTACGTTAATCACATAAAGGAGACAGGTAGCTTATATGTGGTGCACACACCTCTAGTTTCCTGGGCCAGTAGTAGCTACTCATGACCCGGGGTACGGCGTATGGCCAGGCTAACATGAAAGCGGTGGTCATTTTGAGTAGCCGGGGCTCGTAGAAGGTAACGGTGACGTTGAGGTCACCGGCGTATCCTCGTTGGAGGTCGTGGTTGTCGACCATCACCACAGCGTCCTCCGTGGCTAACATACCCCAGCCCTTAGGCCCGTAATCTCGTAGGTCACTCAACCGGTGGCCATTTAAGCCTCGAAACACCCTGGCTAAGTTATCGTGGTTTTTGAACTCAATCACCCGTCCCAATGGCGTATACTTCGAGGCCTTAATATTAGGTCCGTGCTCTTCGTACTCGTGATAGACAAGGGGTCGACTGTTAGCCGGGAAGTACGTGCCGTTCAGGGTATGTAGTCTCGCGATAATGTTTCGTAGGTCTTGTGGCCACTGGTATTGGGAGACATCCGACCCTTATCACAAGACTATAGGTGTCTGAACCACATCTACTCCGTCGGGAAGGAACTACACGACCAAAAGGGTCGCACCGGGCGTATGGTCTCCTATACAGTGGCCTATTATATGGTCCGGGAAGGTATGTCTATAGCCGAGGCTATCGTGAAAATGATAAATATTGTCCACGATATTGAACGCGAGTTTCAGAAAATTAGCCAAGGTGTTTATAATGATGATGATAGTGCAATGATACCAAGGTGTTTGTGCAAGCACTGACAATCATGATTCCCAGCAATATAAACTATAAACTACAACACTTTAATTCTTTAGTAAATATGTTTAACAAATTAAATAATAATAAAAATTAAAATTCAACATAAAAATAAAACAAAAAATAATTATCTCGACCGGGATTCGAACCACCGACCTTTGTGTTCATTCTATAGGGTAATTGATATCAACAATGATTAGTGATTAGCCGTGTTTTTGAAATCAACAAAAAAATAAAATTTTAATTTTACTTTTTTTTACTAAAATTTGTTAAACAGACCATAGTCATGTTTTGTTTATAAATAAATGTATTTTTAGCTAAACATTCAGCGAGATATTTAAGATTTAAAAATATTAATTTACAAACATACACATTCCTAATGAATACTTCATACTATAATAATTTGTTACAATATTTTAGTATTATGTTTTAATTTACTTAGTTTAGTTTCTTATAACTATTTATGTTTAATTAATTTTAAAATGTAAAAAGTGATCTTGAGAAATAAATACTATAAATTTAATCATTAATTAAATAAAATAACAATTCACATTATACTATATTATATTTAATGAACTTTTTAGCATAAGTAAAGTATTTAACAAAATATTTTTAATTGTAACACAAATATTTTATAATAAATATCGATTTATTGCCACAATCATGAGTTAGGGCATAATTTAATTAAAATTAATATTTTATTATAGATTTATTGATATATAATTAAATTACATTTAATGCAAACACTAATTACAATCCCGATTACAATTTAGTATTGAAATTTCATAAAACCACAAAAATATATATCAATGTCATAAAAATGAAAATAAGCAACATCCTTTATTTTGTATTATTTTGTGTGTAATTTTAGTTGTAATTATGAAAACTGTCTATGATCAATATAACTGTATATCAAATTTAATGCCAAAAATGACTCTTACATAACTTGGTGAATTAAATTTATTTTTTATTATACTAGTATCAATTGTTATACTATTGTTGTGATTTTACATTACTGTATATATAATACAATAAGAAAATAAAAGTTTTGTAGTAGCCTTTCATTATTTGACACTGATCCAAAAATTAATCATTTCTATACAATTAATGTGTGAATCATTGCATTTTCATACTGTACAGTGCTGCCCACCAGAGACAGTACTAGTTTAATTTTGGAGC